CAACGCATCACGATTTAGATCTAACGTTCAAAAGACCTGTAGGTTCACAAATTAGACGTCACTTACTGTTTCGTCACTTGTTACTACTTTTTCGTCATTTGTTTTGAAAACAATGCGCTACAACAGTACATTTGTGCGATCGACTTCACGTCCCTGCTCAACCATAACCTTTGCGGGTTATGAATACTTGCAGCGAGTGTGTTGGATCAATGACGCAACAAGCTTACAATTAAAATAATATTATATCAAAAATATTCATTGAGGATCCCAAGAGGAATCTCCCTCCCCCCGAACTTCCTGGATCCGCCTCTGGTTTGACTAGCGTAGAAACTAATCTATGTACAGAAGACTATGTAGCAAGTAGTAAATACATAGCTTCACCATGAACACGTTTTCTTGAGATCTTCATTTGCTAGTTGTGGCAGTAGTGCATCGGAAATGGGTTACTATTTTATTAGCAATATTTAATAAATCAAATCTATAGGTCATTTACCGATGTAAATCAATTTTATGTAAATCGGGAACGAAAATGTCTTAATTTTAAATGTAGCTACCTCTAATTTTTTTAAAGTTTTATTCATCATTCAACTATTTCTGGTTAAAAGGTGGGGAAACAATTACTGGTTAAAAGGAAATTCTGCAACTTAAGAAAATGTGCGCACAGTGCGCAGATTGTACTTGTACCCTTAGGTCGCATACATTTTTATTGTTCTTCGACAAAATAATTGAAATCCAGATTAAAATAGCCGGCCTGGATAACTGAGGCCACTAAGGTTAGAAGATCGTGGGTGCGAATCCCGCACCAAGAATGGATGTTTGTGTGTGTGTTTATGTTGTCTTTTTGCATTCCGCTTACAGTTAACCCATTGTTAAAAATCATAGTGGTCGCTATATGACCAAGCAGTTAAAAGGTGACCTTAAATTAAAAAAAAATAAATAGTTTTCTTGAATTAAGTAATGTAATGCATTTGCAATAAAATCTCCACGTTGCTACACTACCAGCCCCACTGCGCGGCAAACTGCGTTGACTCACGGCCGTGATTAATTGCCGGTTGCGAGCAAAAAGCCGCTGCTTGACATGACACATCGCTTGCAGATTTCTTGAAGTTCAAAACACACTGTCCGAGTCGCGTCCAG